TGGGTAAGTCGATGAATTTCATCAGTGTCTCAGTCTCCCTAGCTACGTAATGGGGATAATAATATCTCCCTTTTACCTACTTCACAGGTTTTTTTTTTTTAAGGATTAATTAGTTGATGTTTGCAAGTCACTCTGAGCTCCTTTGATAAAATACAAAGCACCATTATTTATGGCAATAATAATAGTGTCTCGACCAGTAGGTTTCCTTTCATCCAAGGATGGCAAAGTACTTTACCCCTGGGATTGCAGCTTTACAGCAGATTACTGTGTGGTGGCTGGCTCTCCTTGAAGAAACAGATGGTAATGAGCAGTCTGGTTTTCACTAGAGAGTAATTAAGTCTCCCACCAACTCATCAAGTCATTTGCATAAACTTCCCAAGACAGAAGCGCAGCTCCCAAAAGAGAGCTGGGAGAAGCCGAATTGGGCTCTCATCCCTCATCACTATTTATAAACAAGTCACAGGGGATGTGGATCTTGGAATATCAACATTTTCAACCCCCAAATCAATTCGCTGAACGGTTGCTAAAGCATGGGAATATTTAGACAACAGGTAAATTAGGTTCAACAAAAACAGACATGTAATAAGTGTGGGTTACCTGAGGGTCTTTCAGGTTGTGCAGACCAATTATGCACAAGTCCTGTGATCTCTCCTTAACAGTCTGGTTAGACTAACTTTCAGTTAATTGACAAAGATGAATTAAGTACCTGATTCGTGTGCCTGTCTGGAGCTATTAAGAAAAGTGTGCGATGTGGTCCCTGCCCTCAAGTTGTTTACAACGTATTTGAGACGATGAAACTAAGATACAGGAAACAATTAGTGGAGTATGGAAGGCAGCATATAATTAAGGGCTAAACTGTGTGGAACAGACCACAGGACGATGAGAGAAGGAAGTGGTCTATATGGACCAGTGTAGTGCAGCAACGATTTACCAAACAGGTCAATTGAAGAAGCACGTTTTCCATGTACGCCATGCATATGCAGACCTACTAGGTACCCACAAAAATTCAAATAATTTTTTTTTTTTTTTTGAGACAGGGTCCAGCCCAGGCTGGATGCAGTGGCATGATCTCACTGCAACCTTCACCTCCTGGGCTCAACCCATCCTCCTGCTTCAGCCTCCCAAACAGCAGGGACTACAGGCACATGCCACCACGTCTGTCTAATTTTTGCATTGTCTGTGGAGAAAGGTTTTTGCTATGTTGCCCAGGCTGGTCTGGAGCTCCCAAGCTCAAGCAATCTGTCCCCCTTGGCCTCCAAAAGTGCTGGGATTAAAGGTGTGAGCCATTGTGCCCAGCCCAAAATAAAAAAAAAATTTTAAAAATTTAAGAAAAAGGGCCGGGCGCGGTGGCTCATGCCTGTAATCCCAGCACTTTGGGAGGCCGAGGCGGGTGGATCACGAGGTCAAGAGATCGAGACCAACCTGGTCAACATGGTGAAACCCCGTCTCTACTAAAAGTACAAAAAATTAGCTGGGCATGGTGGTGCGTGCCTATAATCCCAACTACTCAGGAGGCTGAGGCAGGAGAATTGCCTGAACCCAGGAGGCGGAGGTTGCGGTGA